GCAATTGGACTTACATGTCACACAGGCCTTGCACTCAATGAGAAAAGGCCTGGCGGTGAAGTCACCGCACTATTTGACCCCTTTCCTAGGCTCCTCAAAGCCTCTACAGCCAGGCTGTCAAGGATCTCTTGAGTCCCTCCCATCCCTCCCACATTACTCTCAGCTGCCATGTCCTGGGCCCATGGACAGATGGTCTTTCAGAGCTTGTCAGTGCTGCTGCTCCTTAAAGCAGCAAAAGGCCCCCTGAGACCACGCAAGGAGCTCCTCTCCCTTCTATTCTGCTTCCACTGCTGGCAGGAGAAGCCAGAGAGACCATCTATAATTTAAAATCAAAGCCCACTTTTCCACGGCAGCAGAGAGGACGCATTCCCACCGACCTCTCCGACTTCCTTTTTCAGTTCCTTCATGCCCCCCCCCTTTTTTTTTTGTCCACAGGGGTGAGAACAATTTTTCCTCTTGAATTTTAAGAATATCCTTAAAAAAAAAAAAAAAAATTTATCTTTAGAAACACAAATGCCTGCTTTGCCCAACCTGGTGGGATCCCAGCACCCACCAGGGTCTGGTTTACCTTACCTCCGCAGCTGGAAGACACTCGCTCTGGTTGCCATTGGGCAAGCGGGGAGTGGGGGAAGGCATCAAACCTCTCAGACCAGCTGGAAACATCCCCCATTGTTGTGCAAGATGAGAACCACCAACCCACACACAGGAGGTGACCGGAGACACCCGACCGAAGCGCCCCAGCCCCGTTCTCCCACCCACCCCATCCCACAGACACAGCCGAGGGCCTGAAAGGGCAGCGCCTCCTAAGCCCAAGTGAATGCAGCCGGGGGTTTCCTGGGGAACGCTGTTCAGTTTGTGCATGTCTGCGCCGGGTCACTTTTATCCACACATCACTGTCCCCAAATAGGGCCAGAGGGGCAAAAAGCAACTGTCACAGCCCTGGCCAAAGAGCAAGGAGGGGGGAAACTGTGAGCCGGGAGGAGTTTCCATGGCAATCCATCACCCCTGGAAAGGGATTCCTGGAGGGGAGGGAGCCTCCGTCTCGGTGTCTCTCTCGCTTTCCTTTCTCAAGCTTCTTTTTTTAACTTGTCACCCGTGGATGAGTGTAAAGGAGTCACTGGGCTGTTAATAAGGGGGTGGGAGGGAGGAGGTGACTGCATGGGTTGCTCTTGGGACCGGCTCTTTTTAACCGTTTCCTCCCTTGTCCTCTCTGCTGCCAGCACAGAAACGGGGGAGTTTGGAGCTTGTCGACATGGGGAAACAGCCATAATTATACTCATTCGGCCCTGTTCTGCAGTACAGGGGACCTTGTCACAGGTTTAACTTGCCATTTTAAGGGGGCCCTGTTATTCCAGAAGAGGAGTGGCCACATAGGCGGCTATTCCAGCATCAAGCAGCATGATGCTGTAATCATGCCCGTAAGCCCCCCCCCCCACCCGGTAGATAAGCCCTTACTGTGTATGAGAGCAAGGTGCTGGCGCAGCAGGTGACAGCCAGCCCCAGCATTTCCATTCAGAGCTGCGGCCCCCCAGTACGCCCCAGCTCAGCGCTTCAGCGTACCTGAATCCTGATCTGCAAATATTGCCCGAGAAACCTAGGCTACTCTGGCAGGTTCCTGGCCTTCAGCACTGCCAGCTTAAAACACCAGGCCACAAACAGACATGCTCACCTTTTCAAGCAGTATCGGCCCTTGCGGCAGTGCCTCTCTGCAAGGCCTTTCAAGCATCGTGCTAGGATCACGAGCTAGTCTCAGCTTCCCTTAGGTGACCCACAGGATAATGGGCTTTGGGAGGCTGTGTGCGCGCTGCAGGCAGGATCAGGGGATAATAGATTTTGAATTGCTACTTATGCATTTTAAATTGCTCCTTGCAGGCTTGCTCCCCAGTCTGGGGGCTGCACAGCATCGCTCAGTGGCTGCTGCCAGAGGGGGCCTGGAGGGGGTAGGCAAGAAAGATGGGAACCAAACTTCCCTTGAATTCAGCAGTATGGCAGCAAGGAAGGCATTGGCTTTAGGAGCAGAAGAAGAAACACTTTCCTCCCCTGCTGTGAAGAATATCAAACCCAGTCAGGAGGCACCTGGACGTTGCTCTTCTGACTGGGGATGTGGGAGGGGGCGTTCAGCAGAGCAAGATTTGACATGAAGGCTAATCCTCAGCTCAGCGGCTACTGCTTCTGCTCCGCAGACTGCTTCTCAACACCCCCGGATCAGGCACCTCTCAGGAGCCACACATGGCTCTGACCTTGCTGCACGCGTGCTTCCTAAATGCAAGAACCTTTCTAACTGTCTAGAGAGAGGTTTAGACAATGGCATCAACACCCACTGCCACATCCTCCCCCCGCCACCGATACCGTCTCTGGCACGGTGCAGCCCAGCCAGGCCCTCACGGTCATGTGAAGCTGGGACCCCCTTGGCTGCACTGTGTCCAGCTGACAGAAGTGGGAGAGCGCAGCCAAGTGCCTGGTTTCTAGTCCTGGTTCTCCCCCTAAAACCTTAGGCCACACTGAGCAAGGCACGCAGGGCTCCTATACACATGTAGGGGGGCTGCTCCAACGTGCTGGAAATCACGTGCATCTGTGTCCCTGCGCTGAAAAATGGTGGGGCGCTTTGAACTACAGCTTGTCGAATGAGTTTTAGTTCAAAGCACCCCACCGCCATTATTTCAGCGCAGGGATGCTGATGCACATGATACTTGGTTGCTTTCAATTAGTGTGGCTCGCTAATTAAAGTGCCCCCCACCCAACACATCTCCCAGGGCACATCTATAAATGCCCACTGTCTCTAGGGGAAAAAAAAAAGTGGGGGGGCAAGGTTTCGGCCTGCCTCCCTTACCTGGGCGTGCCTCAGTTTCTTCACATGTAAGGTGTGTTGTAGGACTGATTTAGACCCGTAAACCCCTTGGAGAGCCTCAGATGAATGATTAAGCAGCATCACAACCTAGAAATGTGAAAAGTAGCTCCTTCCTCTCTCTTGTCTGGCATTAATCTCAAGCACCGGCTCCATTTAACCTCTGGGTTTCTGACTGAACTGGCTCCTGGAGCCCATGGGAAGATGTGGTAGGAGCAGCTCCAGTCTCAGACGCCAGCTCACACGGGAAAGCCTGGCATGAGCCCCGCCAGCCTCCCACGTGGTCAGTGTGAAGGCAAATCAGCCCATTCAGCATGCCCTGGCAGGCACAGCATGGGCATCCTTTGTAAACAGATTATCAAGGGAAACACAGGATGTTCTGTTGACTTTGAAGCCTGTCAGCACAGCTACACTGCTCCATTTTGCTCCCAGTTATGAGGGGTGGGGGCAGGGAAGGGAGGGGGAAAAAAGGGGAGAGACAGTGGGACCCTCACCGCAAAACTGCTTTTGTGGTGCCAAATGCTGGGTGCAGCTGATGTGGTGTCGGTAGGAAACTCTTCTCTGCCTTTCTAACCTCAGCCAGACAAACCACTCAGCCACGGATCAGCCCCTTCAGCACCTACCCGCAGATAGAAACGCCCTATGACAAAGTGACTGGGGCTGGAAAATGAACCTCCAAGGGACCTGCAGAAGGACTGCTCTATAGTTGTGGGGACGGGGCAGGATGGGGCAGGACAGGATGGGACTTGCAAGCGACTGACCCAGAGGAAGAGCAGCAAGGAACAAGCCTCACAGTCCTATTCTCCTGCCGGGGCAGTACAGATCATTGGGCCAAGCAGCTGCCCACAAAGGAGCTGCATGTGTCCTTATTAGCAGGCAACTTAAGTGATAAAAGGATTTATCTGGAAGAGTTCAAGATGCTACAGAGCCAGGTCTTACTGGTGCACGAGGCCTGAATTCTCTCCTCACTTCTCCAGAAGTCAGTAAGGAGGCACGATCAGCTCTTGGGGGTATGATATGAGGCAGACAGTCCTGGTCTCTGGGAGACACCGTGTACTTATAGATATCTGCTAGTAGCAATGTGAATGAAATGCAAGATTCCCTCCCTACAATCACCTGAAAGGTTTTGCAATGGGAAGAGTGAAAAGTCTTTCACAAGGGACGCTGCCACCAATTCATGTACATTTACTTCTCCCAAGCCCCAACCTGGGTCCAGGGAAAGAAAAAAAAAAAGGAAAGAAAGGCAGAGACAATTCTTGGCTATTGCTAACTAGATATGCTAGGTGACCACAGGCAAAGTGGCGTGTGTGGAGAGCCTTCATGGGCATCCTAGCCTGTCCTGCCACTAAAGGAAAGGAGCCACATCCCCTTCTGAGTATAAGAGGAGCTTTGGTGCTAATCTTGAAGTCAGAGCTCTGCATGGCATGTGACAGCAGCAATGTGAGCCTTTGCTGTGAGCCAGTTCAAGAGCGACTGGCCATAGAGGAAGTCCCTGCTTCAGCCTGGCACCCTAGACTTCTCAGCAGCAACTCTCGTACCAGGTCCCAGAGCAGCCGCCTTCCCTTTCGGACTATTCCTGGAAGCAGGACTGGCCAGGCCTGGCCCACATCCCCGAGCGGGTCAGAGCCGAGGGCTGTGCAGCTCTGCTGACAGGGACCCTCCCTTGGGGACCCTGGGGGTGTCACTGAAGTCACAAGCAGTTCTCCTCTGCCCTCATACCACTTGCCCAGCCAGGAGCTACTCAAACATGCTGTGCCCTGGGGAGGGCAACCATTCAGCTGGGAATGCAGAGCAATTATTAGCCAACTAGCAAAGGAAGAAGCCAAACCCTTGCTCACTTATATGGTATAAGACTGGGTTGTGAATGGTCTGCCTTGATGGCCTCAGAAGACAAGAGGTGCTTCTAATAGCTTGTGAGGGCCCGAGAGGTGGGGGAAGATGTGAAGGATCAGCACCTCAGCTGAAGACAGGGGCCTGGGGGCAGATAGGAACCTGCTCTTGTCATGCACGAAGGGATGCATATAATAAATCATCCTTTGAGAAGGGAGGAAGGCCCATTTCAAACTGCTCCATGTTCCTGCAGCAGCCTCAGAAACAGCACTTGAGAGGCAGAGGGACATACTGGATGTTTGGTGGGGGTGCCTCCCCTCCCCGCTTGCTACAGCGGCCAGAGTTTTGGAAGCCCAAGTCCCTGGGGTGTTACAGCAAAGCAGCAGTTTCAGAGGCCCTTGCTTTTCAGAGCCAAGCGCACCAGCATTAATAAACCTTTCTGAATGCATCTGCGTGGGCGATTTCCTCCCCCACTTCCCCTGTTACATCAGGGTTACAACCAACCTTTTCTAGAGTGCCTCAAAGCCTTCAATGTGGGAAGCCCTGTTAAGGCACAACTGTTAGTCTGACCAGCATACAACACAGACTGCGGATCTCATGCTGGGACTTCCCCAAGGAGAGAGGCACCTTTTACCATCTGCAGAATTAAAGGATGCCACAGGCGTGGAGACAAAGCCACCTGACCTGCTGGGAAAGTGTGATGGGAGAGCTCCAGCCTCGGCAGAGGTCACTGTGCAGGTGGTGTTCTCATGTCCCAGCCCTGGTAGGAGACAGCAAAGCCGGTCAAACATTTACACGGGGACTCCGATGAGAGCTCCTATTCTCTTTCATGCCACCTAATACACTCGACTGCTCTTCTCCCTTTCCACTGGAGCCCAGAAACAATGCCACCAAGTGCACGACCCCTGGTTTAATCATCTCTTAGTAGGGGGCAGAGGAAGAGGACACAGACTCTTACTCTCCAGAGGAAAAAAAGCTGATCCTGGAGGAATCACTGTGAGATGCAATGAAGCAAAGCAGGTAATCATTAGTGAAGGGTGGAGAGCTGGTCTTGGCCAAGCGCACTGCTGCTGCCCAGTTACAGACAGGGCAGTGGGGAGGGGGAGGTGGTCTGGACCAATGTCCAGCCATGGAAGGAGACATTTGGAAGGGGCCCCACCGTGCCCACAGCACACTCAGGAATGCTGCTGCTGCTGCTCATCAGCTACTGCCTGCTAGAGGACAATTCATGGCTGAGAGGAGCATGAGTTTCACAGACAAGCAAACACTTCCTAAAAAGGTCCAAACCACCTCTCTTCCAGGTTCAGACTGACACACTAGGCAACATGCCCCCACACGAGGAAAGGCTGAGACAACTCGGCATAAGTTGAAAGTTTGGAGAGGAGGAGATTATAGGGAACGTGAAGAAACTCCCCAGCCCCTGCCAGGGGACAAGGCAATGGGCTCAAGCAGATTAAAAGTAAATCTGTCAGGTTGGTAACTTCCCAACTGGAAGAGCAATGGGATCAGCTGCCCGGGGGGGCTGTAGATTCTCCCTCAGCAGAGCGTTTCAGTCACAGACCAGATGAGCACCAGCCTGGGACATTTTAGGAAGAGCTAATTCTGTACCTCTGGAGGGGCTGGACTACACGACCGACCCCTGAGTTGCCCTCAAAGGCTACGATTCTACACCATTTCTGCATGCAGCCCTCGTTTCAAAGCCACCTCCTCCTTCAGCACATGAAATCATTCTCATGCTGGCTGCTGTAGGAACACAGGCTTGTTCAGAGACAACCGTTCAGGTATTGGAAGGAGCCCTCTACAACCAGAACCTCACATGCTCAAGAACCGTGAAATAGCCACCCTCGTTCCTTATCCAAGGACACTTTGCAAAACTCAAGACTGGTCCCCATAGCACATGGCTCAGTTCTGACTAGGCAAAGGGTCTGTGCTACATGGATCAGTTGGTGTTTTCTTGGAGCATAAAACAGCTCTGCCACACCAAGACTATGGCCCCCTATATGTTACAGGTATCACACAGTTACCCGGTTACTTGTGCAATTACATTAAGACCAGCTACACGTGCAGAGTAGCTATCACGCCATAACAAGCTCCAATCAGCTATAAAGTTAGAACTTGAAAATGTGTACTAACTTTATAGCTAGTTCCTATCAAGCTTTAATTTGTGCGTGTAGCAGAGGTGCACCATGCCCAGCTGGGGTTGGGAGCCCCAAAACCGAGGGCAAGCAGCTGTAGGCTCTGGGTTGCAGCAGCAGGGTTTCCTGCACCCCTGAGCCTGTGCAAACATAGCTGCCATGATCCCCTAGGTGCAGGTGTGGGGGGCACCCCCACAGCTGGACGCTTCTCAACTGAGGTGGCTCCCAGTTGCAGGAGCTTACTTGGTGCTGGTGCAGGGGGAGCCTGAAGTTGGACTCCCCCTGCACCAGCAATAAGACGTGATGGGTCTAACTTTATAGCATGTGTAGCATGACAGGAGGTGTGACTGTGTGGATCACGCATGAGATCCCCATCTTGCCTTTACCTGCACATGTAGAAGGGCCCTATACTCTAACCTAGGTTTCCCTTTCCTGCAAGGGCCTCACAGACATGGCATCCAGGAACTCACCTGTCAGGATCTCTTTCCAAACCAAACTCACGTCCCCTACCGGTGGTAGCTGGCACATTATGGAACAACAGCTCTCCATAAAGCTCAAAAGGGACCAGGCATGCGCGTAGTAGTAGTTGATACCTAGCCCCCTCCAAACAGTTATGTTTTCCGGCTTGCACCCACATTGTTCCACTACCCCCATAAACTAAGTCAAGACAAGATGGCAAAAATACCACAAGACAGTATGCGAGGCAGCCTGACCTCCCTTGTGGGCATTTTATGTGATTTTTTCTCTTCAACAGGCCTGAGCGCTTGCATTACAGACCCACCAGCTCCAACAAGCTGAGCAGAGCAAAGCCAAGTCAGGGTATCTGCAGTGAGTGGTGCTGGCTACACCACAGGTTCTCCTTTCTCGCCAGAGGAGCACTGGATCACTGCCACAGCTTTTGGATGGCAAACAAAACTCTGCCCACCCACCTCTGCTCATCGCAGTTGCAAAACAGCTCATGTGAGAAATGACAGGAGTGGTAACTAGGGCAGCATAAAAAGGTTTCCATCAGAACTAAGTTTGTAACAAGGCAGCTTTCCAGGAAGTGTCTGTTTTTGCTACAATTTGTTTATAACAGAAAAACACCTGAAAAACAGAACAACTGTCTGAAAAAAATGGTTCTGACTTAAAAATATTTCCATCATGTTTCAAGGGAGTATCATAGTACTTAGGGTCAGAAGGGACCTAACCAGGTCATCAGGTCTGACCCCCTGCCCTGGGCAGGAATGGGTGCCAGGGTCATATCACCCCAGCCACATATCTGTCCAGGCTCCTCATGAAGACCCCAAAAGGTAGGAGAGAGCACCACCTCCCTGGAAGCCCATTCCAGAGCTTGGCAGCCCTAACTGTAAGTAATGTCTCTGCATGTCCAGCCTGAACTTTCTCTCTAACAATCTGTGGCCGTTATCCCTAGTAACCCCGGGTGGTGCCCGGGGGGGGAACAGAGCCTCCCCCAGTTCCCACTGTTCCCCCCTGGTGAGTTGGTAAACCACCACCAGACCCCCTCTCAGCCTTCTCTTGTGGAGGCTCAATAGGTTCAGGCCCTT